GGCTGCGTAACCTGCAGCATCATCTCCTGGGGTATCGTCATTCCCATCGCCCCAAAACCCCCTCGGAGGCTGGAGATGAAGGCTCATGGGAGGTGACACTGGCAGCTCTGGTGCTGTTTTCTTATGGAATATCAAGGCTGGAGCGGGATCTGGTTGAGGAGTGCAGAGGGAGGTGCCACAAGGCTGCCCGAACCAGTGCGGGGTCCCGCAGTCAAGGGCAGGAATTGAAGCTCAGGGTCAGTGTGACATTGCAGGGAGCAGATAACGGGTTACAGGGGACAAATTCCCAGAGGAATAATGAAAGCAGCGGGTTTGGTTTAGGAAAGAGCTGGGAAGGCAGCACGGACGTTTCTGGAGGGGGTCGGAATGACTAAATCCAGGGGGAAAGGAAATAAAGAAGGCATTTGTCTTCTTTGCCTGCATCTCCGGGGCACTCCCCAGAGAACAGGGGTTTTCCAGGCTTTGGGAAAAGCCACGTTTCTGCCTCTGCTTGGGAGCATTCCCAAATGGCACAGCTCTGCTGGGGTGGCCTTCGGGGCTCATGCAGTGGCTGTTTCCTGATGGCTGAAATCAGGTCGCACACGATGGCCGGGTGAGAGGGCTCCAGCACCAGCACACACAAGGGATGAAGGACTTGGGGGTGTTGGTGGATGAGAAAATGAACATGAGCCGGCTTCAGTGTGCGCTCGCAGCCCAGAAACCAACCGTGTTCTGGGCTGCATCCAGAGGAGCGTGACCAGCAGGTCATGGAGGTGATCCTGCCCCTCTGCTCTGCTCTCCTGAGACCTCACCTGGAGCATTGTGTGCAGTTCTGGTGTCCTCAACATAAAAAGGACATGGAACTGTTGGAACAAGTCCAGAGGAGGCCACGAGGATGAGCAGGGACTGGAGCACCTCCTGTATGCAGACAAGCTGAGGAAGTTGGGGCTGTTCAGCCTGGAGAAGAGAAGCTGCGTGGAGACCTCAGAGCAGCTTCCAGTATCTGAAGGGGGCCTATAGGGATGCTGGGGAGGGACTCTTCATTAGGGACTGCAGTGACAGGACAAGGGGTAACGGGTTCAAACTGAAACAGGGGAAGTTTAGATTGGATCTAAGGAGGAAATTCTTTCCTGTGAGGGTGCTGAGGCACTGGAATGGGTTGCCCAGGGAGGTTGTGAATGCTCCATCCCTGGCAGTGCTCAAGGCCAGGTTGGACAGAGCCTTGGGTGCCATGGTTTAGTGTGAGGGGTCCCTGCCCATGGCAGGGGGGTGGAACTGGATGATCTTCAGGTCCTTTCCAACCCGAACTGTTCTATGATTCTATGAAGGCGAGCAGAGGGGAGGCTGGATCCATCCCTGCGGGTGCCCTGGGCACACTGCACCCCCTGAACCCATATCCCCCTGGTACCCCGCTGCCCTTGGCCACGGGGTGATGCTGGGCTCTGCCCCTGCTCTGCCTCACCAGAGGAAGAGGAAACCTCTTCCCAACGGCCGGCTCCATGTGGGATTTTCCGCTGTTTGCCAGGTGCAGCCGGAGCCAAGGGCCCCTGCTCAGGTGCTGGAGCTCCCTCCCTGGGCTCCCCTGGCGGCTCCGGCCGGGCGGCCCGAGGGAAGTGAGCGAGCCGCAGGTCCGAGCTGCATCCGCCCGGCATTCCCAGCCCGGCTTTATCTGGCAGCTCCCCCCGGGACTCCCCGTTTTCCTCCTCCAACCCTTCCCCACCCCAGCCCGTGCTCCCAGAGCGCTTCCTGCAGCAGGGCGAGGGCTGGGGGCTGCGGGACCGCTCCCTGCTGACCCCGGCTCTGCCCAGAGAGGAAATCCTGCGGGAGCCAAGGGCTGGGAACGGCGGCCGAGCTCTTCCCAGGGCTGGGAACCAGGGTTGCAGCTGCAGGTGCCATCAGCCAGGAGAAGCACAGGGGAGAGCAGGGGGAGCACCACGAAGTGCTCACGATGGACACCCATCACCACACAAGTGCCATTTAAACCGTCTTGCTCTTAAATGGGCTATTTTAGGTTGGATCTAAGGAGGAAATCCTTTCCTGTGAGGGTGCTGAGGCACTGGAATGGGTTGCCCAGGGAGGTTGTGAATGCTCCATCCCTGACAGCGTTCAAGGCCAGGTTGGACAGAGCCTTGGGTGCCATGGTTTAGTGTGAGGTGTCCCTGCCCATGGCAGGGGGGGTGGAACTGGATGATCTTCAGGTCCTTTCCAACCCAAAAGATTCTATGATGATTTTCCCATTGGGAAGGGTGGGAGGAGAGGTTGGAGGTGGGCATCGCAGCAGGAAGATGCTGCCCACCGCATGCGTGCTCCCAGCAGCTCCCAGGCCCACAGGAAGCGGGTGTCAGCCCTGCTGCTCACGGGGTGTCTTGGGGTGCTAAATGCTATTAACTGCCTTTGAACAGCTCCCAACAGAAACCAGTCCATGGACAGCCTCATCCCTCCCTGTGACCAGGAACTTGATACAAATACAAATACGGTGCAAAGCGGCTCTGATTCACTTCAGGGCGTTTTGTGACTGTTTTGCCAGGGCCCTCCTCCTTTTCCCTGTTGTTATTTTGGAATGGGAAGCAAGGGCTGGATCTGCTGCTGTCCCCACTGCAGCTCGGCTCCAGGGACTGCCGCGTGTGGGAGCAGATCCAGAACACCGGAGGTAAAACCCAAAGGGAGCATCCAAGCAGGAGCAAACAGAAGCCCAGCTTTTATCCCTCTGCAGCCGAGGGGCACGGAGCTGGGGTTGACTCACCCAGAAAGGGCTGGACCGTGCTCTCTGCAGTGGCAGCTCCACACAAGGGAGGGCAAACCCTGCCTTACTGTATTTAAGCCTCGAAACTAGCACTTGCCTGACTCAACCCCAAACCACACTTCCCAGCCTTCAGCTCTTAGATATATTTAACTGTTGCTTCTGCCTTTTCCATGCACACTGTGCATCCAGGCTGCATGGAACAGGACCCACATGCAGCCCAGCACCTTCTTTGGGTTCTGAAGGAAACAGACTCTTTGCAAGCAGAGGGATTGGAGTCAGATACATCTCTCCGAAGTGCTGTAGCAAAAAGGGTTGAGCTTAACTGAGAGCCAAATCAGAGTGTGAAGGATGCTGGCACCTTGGGATTGTCCCTCTCTGTGTGTACTGGAAAGAGAAACGGGTTTGCTGCTTTCCATAAGGGCTGGTGTGAGCCCCTGGGCAGTTGCAGGTGTGAAGGATGGTGATACCAGAGGAGGAAGGATCAAACCCTGTTCTAAACATGCAATGTTGTGCTGTGGGTCTCAGGAAAGAGCATGGCCCAGGCCCTGGTTCTTCCCAGATGCACAGTGGTGAATGCAAGTCAGGAGCTGCGAAAGGAGCTCTGGATACAGAGAACAGTCTGAAATGTGCAGTGGTGGAGGAAACCTGCTAACGGGGTGAAGAACCAGAGCACCACAACGTGAAACACAGCAGAAAGCAACCCCAGGCTGAGCCCACGCTCAGGCAAAGGGAAGCAGAGGTCATCTAACGGCAGGAGGAGGGTGATGTTGTGCAGTGCAGTGATGTGCTTGAGCTTGAATCAGCACCGAAATGATCCCTGGCTTCTGGGTGGGAACCAAAGGGGCCCCAGGTTGGCTCGAGGCTCCCAGTGGGGGACCGGAGTTTGGCAGGGAAGGGAGCAAGAGAGAGACTGGACAGAGCCAGGGCAGCACAACAGGGATGGAGCAGGCAGGAGGAGGGCTGGAGACAGAGCTTGCTGCTCTCCTGCCCCCCTCATCCCATGGCCCCAGCACCTTTCAGCCTTACCCTCCTCTACACCCTTGGGTGAACCTCAACCAACACCCCGGAGCTGAGCCACGAGGAGATGGGAGTGGGGCTGGAGTTTGGCAGCCTGGCTGCTCCTCCACTTGAGAGGCTTTGAAAGGGAATGTATTTTTGGAGCATTAAAGATCAACTGTTTCAGTCTCCGGCCAATCCCTTTCAAGAGCAGCACCGAAGGAGGTCAGTGGGATGCGGCTGGTCAAATATTTTGTCCATGAACATCATCTCTCACCCCCTCAAGTATTTACAGACCTGGGAGCATTTCCTGCTGTTCCCCTCCCTCGGTGAATAGCTGGTGTCTCTGCTTTCTGCAGCAGGATGGTGCAGGGTGTCTCTGCTAGAGAAGGACCACCCCAGCGCTGCCCTTTGGGCTGGAACACAAACCTAAAGCAGCACAGTGTGTTCAGTCACACAAATGGACATGGATTTAGCAGGGAAGCAGTGAAGCAGCAGCACAAGATAATGAGGAAAACTGTGCGGGGGTAGCGGTGGTGGTGGTGGGGAGCCGGGGTGGGAAGAGGGAGGTTGATTCTCCAGGGCTTCTTTTGTAATCTTCATTCACCATATTTAGTAGGCTTGTGACTTGCCCTTGCTGAGCTGATGGAGAATTCCCCCAAGTGTTTACTCCCACAACCTAGCAAATGCCTCAATACACATCATGGAAAAAGTACAATCGACATCTTCACTCCCACTAGAGAAGGAATTCTGACTTGCCCGGGAGTATGTGCTGTGAGAGAGACAAACACTGCTTCATTAGCTCCCCTCAGCTGTGGTTTACTCCTCAAGTGACCTGGTCAGGGCTGCCACCACCTCCCTCCCTTCCTTCACCTAAAGACCCCTGACCTTTGATCAGAGCCTTAGGGACAGGAATGTGGGTCCTTTAACCCTTTCCTCCACCATCAGCAGGATGCTCTCAGTGTAGCTGGCAAAGCTGGTGGTCCAAGGATTTCCAAGGGATGCAGAGCTACTGTGAGGTGCAGGAGCAAACCAGCTTTCTTCCTGCTGCACTTCGGGAAGAACAGCCTTTGGTGATGGAAACACATGTCTACCATGTATGAAACATGGGAACAAAGTGGGGGTTGCTGTCAGCAGAGCTCACAGATCAGAGATCCCTCAGGATTTTCTGTGCATCTCTAGTTCAGAGTACAAAACTTGTAGGGGAAAATAACCAACCCAGAGTAATCGGGTCATTAGGATTTTCTTAGCGTGCTTCCAAACGGACCACATGGCAAGGACACACAAGAAATCATTTTAATTTATCAGATATAACATCTCCTACAAGCACGATGAATGCAAGGTGGAGCAGAGCTGAAGAGGGAGCTGGGATGAGAACACTTCAGCATTGCTGATGGTTTTGCAGATGGGATGTGGTATGGAGGCAGCTTTCCTCTACTGCTTGTCCCCAGTCCGTTCCTACCTCACCCCAACAGGGGGTGATTCCAAGCACTCCTATGCTACAGGGTTATGCAATTTACCTGTTTTCCCAGTGGCTAAATACGATTAAAGCCCAGACCTCCAGTGGTCTCCTCCTCAATGAAACCTGTGAAGCGGTGGTGTGCAGAGGATATTGATCTGAGCCAGAAACAGTCTTTAATCTCACAGAGGTGCATTTGTGCTCTTGACCTCTCCTTTGTTCACCTCGTTCGTGACACTTTGCACACCAAAAATCTCATGAACAAGCCTGATTTCTCCTCCAGCTCTTTTCTTCCTGTTCTTTTTACCCCTTGCACGTTCTTTCCTTCTTTCTGAGGAAAAACCACCTCTCTTCTGAGGACCGGCGGAGCACTTGCAGTCTCTACCTAAAATAAGACACAAACTTCTAATTAAAGGAGGAAGGGGTGTGGGTATATTAAATATTAAAGCTTCCCAAGCCTCCCGAAATCCTTTGTGTGGAGCAGCTTTGGGAAGCTCGGCCCTCAGCCAGCCTCCCCCTCTTGGAACACGCTCCCCAGGGCAGTGCCCAGGCTGCAGCTGCTGCTGCTCCGGGGCCTCAGCCCAGCCCCACACGCAAAGAAATACTACATAAATAAATACTTGCTGCCAACAAAGACCTGAGGAAGCAACCCTGGGTGGGAGGAGAGGAAGGGAACGTACACACTGAACCGGAGCAGCCTCGGGATAACGGGAAGCTCGCTCTCAAGCAGGGAGGAGCGAGGATAAGCAGGAGTGCTTATAGCTGTGACCACGTACGCTATAGATTTTATGCAAAAGAAGTATATGGTTGCATAAAGATACAGCTCCATCTTCAACCAGCCCCTCAAACCTTCACATTTCAACACAGAGCCTAAAAAATAAGACCAACTCAAAGCTTAAACTTAACCAATTTACACAACAGAAGGATTTAGCACCTGCAGGCGCCGGGGGGGTGGAAGAGCTTCACGTGAAACACTTGAGCATTGAGGGTGGAAAAAGGGATTGTGGCTTTTCAGCTCCGGTGCTTTTCACCTGCAGGTGACAGGGACTGGAAAACACACGCATGGGGAGGGGAAGGCAGAGGATTGCATGTGCAGGAGGAGCAGGAGGCAGCGGGACACCCGCCTGGCAGCGAGTTGCTTAAGTGTAAGAAACGGAGTCCTTCGTTGCATTGAGAGACAGTTTCTGCAGAGCCTTCATTTGCATTTTAATGGAACTCTTTCTAGGAAGGTGCTGCTTGGACTCTGTTGCAATAGAAAATAAAGAGGTAATTAAAACCACGCTGGAGTTAAAAGACATTTCATTGTCATTAATCAGGTTCATTCATGGGCTTTTCAAAACTGAAGGTATTGAGGGGGTGTGGGAGGAAATGGGGGGTGGAAAACACCACACACACAACATCTGTTTATTTAAACCACAGATTGAAAAGTGGAAAATAATCTTTTTTTTGTTGTTGTGAAGGGACGTCCTGGCGATTAAAAGCACCGTGTAGAGGAGGATTTGAATAAAGAACAGGCATAAAATCAACTCCGAGGTTTCAGCAGTAGGTCTCCCTACTTAAAAGCCAGAGATGAAGCAGATCTATAGGACGGAGTGGGGGGGGAAGGAAACCCGGGAGGACATTTCCAAGCCTTAGGCACACAATTACCCGTGATTACCCACCTAAGCTGGTTAACTAGGCAAACAAATGCCCAACCCACGAGGATTTCCCCACTTTGGGGCACGATCCCAGCACGCGGATGCTGATGCACAGGTTGCAAACGTTTCAGCTGCTGGACCAGCTCCTGCTTTCCCAACGCAGGGACCCAGGAGCGGTTCCCTTGCTCGCCACAGCCATCGCAGGGTTGGCATCAGCTTCCTCCCCGCTCCAGACCTATCCTGTGCTGTTAAGCTCCGTCCTTTGAAATATAGGGCAGGTTGTGTCGGATCCTCCAGCGCAGCAGCCGAAAGGGCAGCATCCTGCCCTTTGCTGCGACAAGAGGGTTTCCATCCCTGGATCTGACGGGCGGGGGGGGGGGCTCTGATCTCCATCCTGCAGACCCTCATTCTCCACACCTGCAGCCGTCAAGCCAGGCCAGCGCCCCGTTTAACGGGCTCTGAAGTCTGCCGGGCTGCAGATCTCGTGTTCCTATGCATCACTACGGTCTCTTATTTCTTTATAAAGTGATTTTCCCCCCCCGCCTATAAACTGCTCAGGAGGACGCAGCTCGGCGCGGGCACAGGCTCCTGTGGGGAGCAAACCGCTGCCCCTCATCCCGGCCGCCCCTCACGGCGGAGCCGGAGCGGACGGACCCGCTGAGGGGACACAACCGCGGTGCCTCCTTCCTCGGGCCACGGATCGCGACCGGGATCGGGTCCGGGTCCGGGTCCTCCGCCGCCTCAGCGCTGTCACGGAGCCGTCCCATCATGCCCCGCGCGGCCGAGCCCGTGCGCGCGCCCCCAGCCCACCCTTCACTTCCGGTGTCCGGCAGTGGCAGCGCCGCCGGCGGCGCCCCCCGCTCCCCCGGCGCAAGGGGCGGGGCAAGGGGGGGCGGAGCAAGGGGCGGAGCTTAACGGAAGCCCGTGCGAGCCTCTGACCAATCAGCGCCCGCCAGTGTGGGAGAAGGGGCGGGGCGGAGGCGCCGGCACGCGCCGCGCGGCACCTCTTCCCCCCCCCCGTCCCCCCCATGTTCCCCCCCCCCCCACCCCCCCCGTCGCGGGTTCGCGCCCCGCGCGCCCGAGGGAGCGACGGGAGCGCGCCCGGGCCCCCCCCTTCTACCTGCTCCTTCCCCCCCCCCCCATCCCCACCTCCTCCGCCCTCCTCCCCCTTTCCCCTTCCCCTCCCCACCCCGAGGAGAGGCACGGAGTGACCGACGGAGCCACAAGCTCCGGCCGCTCCCACACCGCGCTCTCCTCCATGGGGCTCAGGTAAGCGCGCTGCCCCCCCCCCCTCACTGCCCCCCCCCCCCCTCACTGCCCCCCCCCCCCCTTCCCGCCCCTCGCCCCCCTGAGGCGAGCCGGGGGTCGCCATGGCCGCCGGGCCGCCCCCATCCCCGCGGCCGCCCTGAGGCGAGGCGAGGCGGGCAGCGCTTTGCCACACAGCCCCCCCCCCCCACCACCTCCGTCCTCCTTCTCCTTTCCGCTGTGCTCACCGCTACCATCGCCCCCTGCCCACCCAGCCAGCCCCGCGGGCACAACCCGCCCCGGGGCGGGGGGAAGCGGGGGGGCCGGTCGCTCTGTGCCTACGGAAGGGGGCACGGTGCCTTCTTTGGGACGCGATGGCTTATTTGGTGTGGGGTGGATGGCTTAACTTGGTAAGTGGCAGGGTTTAACCCCCCTCCCCCGGCCCTCCCCTCCCCTTCTCCGCCCCCCCCCCCCCCCCAACCCTCCCCTCCCCGTAACCTCCAAAAGGGGAATTTTCCAGCTGGTAATTTCTGCTGCGTCAACACCCAGCTCAAGGGAGAGGAGCAGAGACAAGGGGGCATTTTAACAGCAGCTCCACTTGCGAATAGCCAAGCCTCAATCCCGGCTCCAGCATTCAAACCCTTTCCCCCCCCCCAAAAAAAAACCCAGCATCCGTGCAAGTTGGACCAAGAGTTTGTCAGGAGCGTGGTTCCAAACTGCTTGGGATAAAGGGATGAGGTAATAATCGTGGTGAAGCATGTTGTATTTCGCTCTTTTTCTGCCTCTTGCTCCTTTTCCTAAGCCTCTCTCCTTCTTTTTTCCCTTCTTTTTTCTTTCCTTAAGCCAGGCCTGTTTTGGGTTATTGTCTCCCCCTAAAGCCAGGCATAGATCGCCTGGCCTTGCCTCCATTTTAATTGCAGGCTGAAATGGGGGAAGTGACCCTCTTTTAGACGGGGAAAATAACCCCACCAAACCCCACTAAACAACGACAGGAAAAACAAACCCCGTGGAAAAACAGCGCTGCTCCTTCGCGGGAGGGGGGGGGGGGAGGATGAAGGTGGGTTTTCATCGGGCTGTAACAAGTGCAAAAGTGGCTGGAAATGTTTGCTGTCATGCTGGGCAACGACGGAGGCGTCGTGTCCCCGTTCCCCCCCCTTCCTTCCCCAGGAGGAAAGCGGTGGTTAAATTTGGAAGGAAAGGTGCTGGTAAGAAGCCGGGGTTGTGCTGCCGGATTGCCTTTGTGTCTCTGTAAATAGACGTGTCAGTTCCCAAAGTCATACAAGTAGTGTCTGATAACTCAATCCCCGATGACAAACGGAGAACGGAGCAGCTTTGCGGGACTGGAACAGCGGGAGGATGTCTCTTTTGGAAGCGGGGTGTGTGTGCAGGGGAGATGGGGGGGACGAAGCGGCGTTGGTACCTCCTGAGGAGGTTCTCGAGCAGCGCGGTATTGTGGAGCTGAGCGCTGGGATGCAATCCAGGGAGAGAATCCCAGGTTTATTTATCCTTTACACCTGACAGGGGGAAGATAAACAAAGGAGAGTTTGAACCGCTCTTTAATGAATTCCTCATGCTTTTCATTTTGCAATCCCAGTGATTCATTTGCAAGCCTGCCAGGACCGGATTATTATCAGCATTGTTTAAAGCCATGCTAATTAGAGACGTGTTTAGCAAACAGTGCTGGTGCAGACACCTGTACCAAAGTTCCTGCCTGCATTTTAATTGCATCCTTTCGCATCGCGTGTAGCATTTAGGGGCTGGCGTACGGATCTAGGTCTCGGTTCTTGAACTCCATCAAGTATTTTATTACAGGTGTGGGTTCTCAGTGTGCAAAGAGCAGCCCTGCGACTAATGCATGAAATGTGAGGTCTCCACAAGGAAAGGGAGTCTTCTTTCTTTCTTTTCTTCTATTTGTTCGGGGGGGGGGATTAAAGGGAAAAGCTGCATTATCCAAGAGGGAGAGAACTGTAATTTTAAGGAAGCAGCTTGCAGGGAACGGGTTGCTCTTCTAGCAATACCTTGCTTAAACATTGTATGTTCTTATAGCATCTTGTAATTGCCAGTAGGATTTGCCTTTCCCTTTCTAAACTCCGTTCAGCTTCTCTCGCTGTTTGTCGAGTTTTAGGTTTTGAAATCCTTTAGTGATGGAAAAAGAAAATGGGTGGAGTGTGTGTTATTAGTCACAATATTTTCAATATGTGGGGAGGAATGAGCGCCATAAGGTGCTTTTGGGGGGCTGACGAGGGCTGGGAACAGGAGCCTGCCCCATGGGCTGGGGGCACAGCTACAAAACAGCGTTTAGGGCAGCTCCCAAATGGATGTGCCTGGCAAATAGTCCGTGTTTTGCTACGCTGGTGGGATAGCTGTAACTGAAACAGAAAACTGGTCGTTTGGTTTTGATGCAGCCTGTCCAGGAGGGGGAAACTAACTCACTCACAGCTAAACTTCTCTCGCAGTTGCTTTCATATCTGTGTTATGACCATTTGATGTAATTGAGTCAATTTGAGTGTGGTACCAAAAAATGGGGGTTCTGATAAGTCACCCTTGAGGTGTTCATTCGTAGGCTTTAAATGCTGCTTCATCCTCGGGCGTGTAGGATCGAGCTGCTGAAAACATGACCCGTACACGGGGTTCTTGGAAAGTGGGCCACTTTCTCCCCGTGGTCTTTGTTTTCTGGGACAGTTGTACAACAGTGGAGATGTTCTTCGCAAGAGGGTTTTTTTTCCTCCTTAATAAGTGGAAGTGCTCAAAGGAAAACCAGTTTAGCAGCACCCCCTTCCCCAAGCAGTCCTCCGTGGAAAGGCGGAATGCCTCGTGTTTGAAAGGTCTGCGATTTGCTGTTGAACAGTCTGCTTTTCCTCTGCTAACGTGTTGTGTTGCTGCGAGGTCGAACGTGTTCTTTTTGTCTTTGCTGTCCACTTGGGTGGGTTTTTTTTTGTTCAGATACGTGTTTTTGAAGTTTCTCAGCAAAGTTTCCTGTCCTCCCGGCAGCGCAGCAGCAGGATAACGCCCCATCCAGACTGCTGCTGCTTGCTTCCAGAGCAGATTTCCTTCAGAAACAGCTCAACCTTTCGCAGGGCATTTTCCCCTTCATGTCCTTGCTGGTTTTACTGGCAGCCCCAGTCTCCAAACCCCCCATAATTGGTAAAAAGCACTCGCAGGGGGTTTCCTTGCTCCTATGTGCTCAGTTTAATGGGCAAACTAAAGGGCAAAGCGGGGGCTTAGTTTATGTCTTTGAAGAGCTACCTGCAGCTGTAATGGTTATCCCACACGTCCCTTAGAATTCTCAGGAGCCAGCAGGTCGTGTCCATTCCTGGCTGCCAGCGTTACCCTGGAAAATACTGACACAGAAGGATTGATGTTTGCATTTCACTTCTGGCTTATGACTGGCTTGAATATTCTGAAGTGAGTAACTTACCTGTGTTTTATGTGTGATATCTGAAACTCAAAGTGTATTAATAGTGAAAGCAGGCGCGTTGTGGGGCTGCCTGCAGATAGCAGGGGTCACGTTAGGCGAGAGGACACGGACCTACCACTGCTGTGGGATAGAGGGAGGGAGGTATTTGGGCTGTGTGAAGTGCTGTGGTCTGCCTCTCACCCCGGGGTCTCTGGGAGGCGTTTAGGGTGTTTTGGTCAAACACAGCGACAGTCAGGACTCCGGTTGTTGCTTCAGACCTTCACTTTATTCCTTCTTGAGGGTTTTCTGTTTCACTTGGTGATGTATTCATGTTACAGCTCCCTTAAGCACAACCGTCAGTGGTTGGTTGTCTCAATTCCCTCTAGATATTCAGTCCGTTAGGCAGGATGTGAAATAAAAGCATGTATTGCTTGTTGTGGGGCTTCTTTCACTGGAGATGGAAGAGGAGAGACTCTCAGCTTCTCTGAACAGTTCAGTAGCTTTCAGGTCTGTGCTGCCGTGGTGCGTTTGGCTGCACAGGGATGTCCAGTTTGGAATGAGAGCTGCTTGGGATTCAGTTCCATCCTGCAGCTGTGACTGAATGTGCTGGTCTTGTCACTGCTTTTTATCAGCCTCCCTTTCTGTGAAACAGGGGTGTGGAGCTTCCTCAGCTCTTCCACACAGTTTCTATTATACTGGCAAAAAATCACAGTTGTGCTAAAACTGCTTATTCTTCATACGCACGAGCTAGTGTGAAGTCCTCACTGAATTCCCCAGTAGTGGAGCTCGGAGGCTCCTGGATGGGGTTTTCTGCCCCTTACCAAGTTAGCTGTTCTGAACACTTGCTTTAACTTCCTTCCATACCCATGCATTTAAGACCCATCAGCCTGCAGTTGAAATGTTGGGTTTGAACAGCATGTGAGTGCAGGATGTGAGCTCCTTGACAGCAATTCCAAATAGATGGAAATGTGTTCCACTTTGTGGCGCTCTGTTGTGTGTAGGTGAGGTAAGGATGTACCTGGGTGTTGTAGATGCTGAGGTAGAGCTGAAACTTGCCTTTCTTTGCCTTGCATTTTGGGAATATGGCTTTTCCAGCCCAGGCAGTAGTGATCCCTTCTGCCCTGACACTTACTTGGCATTAAGGAGGAAAAACATTCTGCGAATGCTGGAAGTTGCCTGGCATTTGCTTTGGAGTAAAGCTGAGTTGGGGTCTGCTGTATTGGAGAGAGGCAGCGAGGTGGCAGGAATATTCTACAAACACAGCTTGTGTATGGATTAAAATAAGCCTTGTAGCAAGGATGTCGGAGTGTGTGCCAGGAACTTTGCTGCTTAAGAGCCCTGCTTAGAAAAGCAAGTAGAGTTTTGCATAGCAAGGAATGTGTTTGTAGCTGTGTATATGTTCGTTATCTTTCCTAATTGTTTCCTCCTCATGTGTTGAACCAACTTAATGCATCCAAGTGAATTTGGTTCCTCTGTTTCTCATCTTGTGAAGAACAACTCGGAGTGGATACTTGAGGTAGGTGGCTCACTCTGGGTGAGGAAAGGGTTAACCAAAACGTGCACCTTTTGCACTAATATACCATTGGAGGAAATACCTTTCTGACCAGTGCTCAAATCATGCTCCAAAACAGAAGCATCAATGGTCTGGATTAGCCATTAGGTGCTTAAAATACCCAAACCTGAAACTGGCTGATTGAAGTACCCGTGAAGGAAGCAGTCAGGATGGAGTGCTCCGAACAGTCCCACCGCTGTAGGGTTGGAGGACGAGGTGGGGGCTGGATAAAACCCTCACTTACTGACTTCCTTCTTATTGCTGCTCTGTCCTTCTTGGCTTCACTGTGCTGCTTTTTTATTTTTTTATAAGAGTTGATCAAATCTGGATTATGAGATTTGGACTAAAAGGAAAGTGGGATATTACCCGAGGCACTGAGTGCTTGTACCCTGAGTTACACACAGCACCTCCTGTGTTCTCTTTAGTTTTGCTGACATATTTACTCCTAGGGTATTCCTGACTCCTTGTGTGCATTTTCCATCTCTTGTGTGCCCTTCCCCTCGGTTGCTCCCACGGCTATACTTCCCTTTAAAAATTCCCTCACGATTCTTCCTCTTTCTTTGCTTCCCTCCCTTTTCACGTAGTGACTTTGGGAACTTACAGAAAGATCCCCAAGTTAAAAAGCCAGAAACCAATGTGAAAGTTTGGGGGGAAGCTTTTTTTCAGGGCAATTCCCAGCGTGATATGATCACACTTCTTTAATCCTCTTTCTTTTTTAGGTGTTTTTTATGTTGTTTTAGTTTTGGTAATAGATGCACAAGGGCAGAGTCTTTTGCTCAGACTTCTTTTGTGATGCTCTTTTAAGTGGCAGCTTAGGATCTTGTAGGAGTTAATGGCATTTGGACTGGTAAGTGTCGCACCAGCCACAGGCACCTGGGGTTTTTGAGGTTGCTGTTTAATCTTCACTGCTGAAGTAGCAGCTGTATCTGTAGCTAATTGCTTACTTTGTTGTTGGTATGAGCAGACTCCTTGAGCCTGGTACCCTGTAAGATTCTTGCTCTTTAGGTACTGGTTGGCTCTTCCATGTTCCTTCAATAGCAGCAACTGTTTCTGTACTGTGTTAGAGGTCTCCGTGGTGGAGAGAAGATGGTGAGGCAGGCAGATGGACAGAGATGGAAGTCATGGGGAAACGAAGAAGGGAAATGCAGAGGAAATGGAAAGAGCAGCAGGAGCATTATTGCAAGCATTTTGAACTAGAAACGTGCACCTAGTGCCCTGTCGGAAAGGTGCATCCTGTTGCATAAGCAAACTGTTACAGGCTGGAATACTGTATTGTGGCTGCATCGCTTTTACAGGCATGGAAATGAGAACTTACTTTCTCTTGGGTGGTTGCATCTTTTTCTGTATCTTCCTGTTAAAATTGTTTGAAGTCCTCATATAAAGTAGAATCATGGAATCATTTTACAGTGGCTTCTTCAAAGCACTTGTGTCTGGAAGCAGAGGAGTGTTAATAGTGTTAAAATTTGTATGTTAAATTCTTTAAGTTAACACAAGCACAATAATTTCTCCTTTATGCTTATTGATAGAAATATATCATAATATTGTTTGAAATGGCAAAGTTGTAAAAGTGCTGCTTGCAATTACGTGCCACTGAAGGCTTTTATATGAAGTTACAGTTTAGATTTTAATTTGTGCCTCTTATTCTTCCCATTCCCAAATGCAGGACGTCTGGTGAGCCCTTTGGAGGTTGTCAGCAGAGCCCATTCTCCTCTCTTCATTAAAACATGCACTTTCCAGCTGTGAAACATCGCGACATTTGTTTTTGCTAACAGGAAACATTTTCAACTGTTGGTAAGTGCTCAGCATTTAAAGATACTTTGTGATGTGCTAAGAGAAAGAGGAGGATTCCTTTAGGAATCTTACCCAGCTGTGGAAGTTGGAGGAATACCTCTGGCTGTTGTGCTCCTACCTTGTAGCAGAGGTGCCTCCGTTAGTCATGGTCACTTGATGTTCATCTGTTCAACTACAAGAGGAAAGCAGGTTCAGAGCTCAAAGCAAGAAGGAAAAATGCAGAGCAGTGCAAAATAGTGCAGGTCTGAGCTTTGCTGTTCTTACTGGACTGTTCTGGCTTATTCTGGGCTCTGGGGCAGAGGTGTAGATCAGAGTTTTAACAGTCACAGCCCTAAGTTTGAGTGAAAAATCCCACTTATTTTTACCCTTTGCTAACAAAGTCATTTTCCATGTGTTCCCTCACTCCCCCACTTTGTTTTTTTAACTGTCTAAATAACAGGACTAAAAGGAGCCAAAACAATTGCTATGGAGAAGCAATCAGAGAAAGGCAAGACTTGGCAGTCTGAAATAGACACTGAGAACAAGCTCAGTGGTATTTGCTTCGGCTGGGTCATATTTGTTGTCAGGATTTTCACAGTTGTGCTTGTTGCCATAAGAATGCCTGGATTTGCCTTAATGCTCTGTTTGTGTATTAGATACTCATTTCCCCACTTGCAGTAACAGCAGTTTGTACTGGAAAAGCTTTCTTAATTTTTATCTTCTGAGGTTTTCCCTTACTGCAGAAGGTGAGATCAACAGCATTGATTTATAACTGACTTTCATTAAGAGCTTATCTGTAGATTGAAGAGATCTGAATGCAGAGATCAGAAATACGTGGCAGACACTTTGCTAGAGGGGTCAGCAGTGCATAAACAGTGTAAAGCTTTGACTAAAGCACAGTCAGAAGTTTTAGTTGAATTTAAATGTTTCCAGTGCAGTGAATGTGTTCTTCTGAAGAAAATAAAGTCTGGTTTGTATGGGAGAGCCAGATGGACATGACGATAGTCACAGCTGATGTGTCCTCACAGACAGAAAACCCTTTGGATGAACTATTTCTAATCTTGGTACCTTGTTGATCCTAAACATCAATGTTTTATCTGGGAATGTGCCTTACTACCTAAGGATCTGTATTTCACACTGAATTCTCTCTCAAAATCTTGGGGTTATTTAATTTCTTCACCCAGAATGGTGTCATCCAGGAGGAACTGGCAACGGAACATGTCAAGAAGACATTCTTTTGACCATTCCATTGCAACCCTCTCTCAGGTGTTGCTTCAGTAGCTTTTTAACCTCCTATTTTATAGGTCAGATAAGGTGAATTAGTGCCCTTCGGGCCACAAATGTCTTTCCACAGTCATTAAAGTGAGAATGTTTGGAAAAGCTACCAAACAGGAAACCCTGTTGTTTCAAGGACCTGTTTGAAGTTTTAGTATCTAAAATTAGATACCTTTTTTCTCATACTTTTAAGAAATAACTCTTGTTTGTAGTAATGCAGTAAGGTACCAGGCTTTAATTATCTGCAGTGTATTGCTATGCTTTCATTTTTGGGGGTGAAGCCATAAACAGGGGTGTTATAACTGTGGGTTTGTGGGGAAAAGCCTTCAAAATGTATTACCATAGTTCAGTAATTTGTAGTTTAATGCTCATAACTTCTTTTGGGTTTTGTTGTAGTTCTGTCCTTCTCCTGCAAGAAGTCCCAGCAGTGATATCGGAAGGTCAAAGACTGGTGCACTACCTGTGCTGCCCTAGGGCTGTTGATGTCCTCAGCTGTTGTAGGAGAAACACCAGACCTGGAACCCAGTTTGTTACTGGTAATGAGTAATTGTCTTGGATTGTGATTGATGGTTCTTTTAATATGGAATTTTACATTGCTTTCTCTAGCAAAATCAGTAAAACTCTCCACTGCTTATGACGTGAAGAACACGATAGCAAAATGTGCCTCTCTGGTATGGTTTTGCCTTTTTTCCTCCTATTTTTAACTTCACAGTTTCTAAATTTCTTGTCCTAATTACCAATTGCCCTCCTTCCAAACTGTGGAGGCAAACAGCCCTCCCTTAGCTTTCATCTTCAGACCTGGTTTTCTCTTGGAATTCTTCATGTGCTGTCAGAGCTGCTTGAAGGTTAATAAATGGATTTTCCTAAGATCCTTTCCAAAATCCTGTCTTTTGGCTGCACTTCTGTAGTGTCCAACTTTTCCACCCTGCTGGCCCTGTAACTTCAGGTAGATGGTTTGATATCAAAGGCCAGCAACCAAGTTGCTGGTTTTGAAGTAGAGAGTGAAATGTTTTGTGATGGCTCCTGGTTATTTTACGTTCTGCTTATTGGAGTTGGATTGTGCTTGTGGCTTGTGTTTGGGTTGTGGAAACAAAGCTGTAACACTGTGATGCAGGACTAGAAGTGTGTAGTGTTTAGAGTGTCCTTGTTCAAATTTGCCTTCTTTTAATTCCAAATTGAGTCTGGATCAATGTATTTTCATGGTAAAAGCAGCTGTAAACTGATGATATGGTCTAAAATGCTTTGTGTTTCCTGCCTAAGTCTAACTGGGGCAGACGGGGAGTTGACATATCTTCCTGCCCCAAGTTTGATTTCTTTGCTGCTGTGTTCTGGCTGCTGAAGATGTGATGCTGCTCTGCTCCTGCTGTTTGAACTTTGCTCGTAGCCTTTCTGGACTGTAACTACTACAGAATGCTAAGCAGAGGTGTTTCAATGCTCTTCCTCAAACGCACTTGGGAGGAGAAAACACTGTGCTTGTGGAGATTTGCACCGTGAAGCTCATGAGCAGTGTCATCGCTGGGAGTTACCTGTTAACATCCCGAATCTTGTGCTTCTCCTCCCGTTTAGGAGAGTGAGTGCAGGTACCACTCTTTGCTGTTGCTAAGGTTACACTGGGGTTCTTGTTCTCTGTTCCTGTCAGCACGGGACACATGGACAAGAGGAATCCTCTGCATCTCTTGTCTTTACATGCATAAAAGTGAAGCTTGTTACACACTGTCATGTGTGAGGTGGTGTTTGGAGCCCGATCTCACCTTACAGAGCTTCTTTGCAGAGGAATTCAAAAAATGCTGGAATGTCTTGGGAGTGGAGACGTGGACAGAGGGGAAGCAGGGAAGTGGGGTGTGTTTGTTGCCTTTTTGTATAAGAAACCATTGGAGTGAACTGGAGTTCTTCCTTGATCTGTTTTTACTTTTCTCCGAAGGGAGAAGGGGGAGGAAACAACACATTTTTGGTCAAATTCCAGTTGGCATGTTTTCCCTGGGGAGCACACGGTGCCTGCTGGTAGAGAGCACTTAAGAGTGTTTTGGTACTCTGTAACTTGTGTCCCTACTATTCAATGTAGAAACATGTTTAGAAAGTTGTAACAGACATCTTGGAGGTTGAATTTTGGGTTCCTTTGTGTTCCGAGAGCGCAAATAGGAAACAAACAAGAAACCCTCCAAAACCTCTCCAGTCCTTTGGGGTTTTTCCTTATTTTCCTTCCCCTGTTTTCTTTCTGAGTAAAAGGAGTTTATTTTTGTCCCCTCTATTTCCCCGGGGACTGCACTGAAGGGACTTTTGTGCGTGTCCTCCATTTCTTGCAAGTGGCTTTATGTCTGAACCCGAATAACGCACTGAGCTTTAGATACAACACGTTTCTACCCCTTAATTTTACTGCTGTTCACATCTGGGTCAGGAGACTTATTGTGGGGACTTGCTCTGAGCAGTTGGCTTTGTTAAGTACTGGCTATTCCTTTTAAACCTTTCCAACAGGAGGTGAAGACTGTATTTATTTAGACTCTTATGTCACCAGGTGATATTTTCATGTCCAAATAACTGTACTGATAGTGTAAAATAAACAGTTTTCGTGGCTGTTGTGTTTGTAGAATGAGGTTCATTCCAACCAGGCTTCAAGATTAGCTGAATTATTAATGCTTACTTGAAGAGCAGGGTTTTGATGACCTGAGAAAGAAAAAGCTGGCCTCTACCTTGACAGAAGTTTGCATGAAAGAGATGATTAAATCTGTTTTCTTTTGTTCCTTTCGCTGTTACGTGCAAGTGGTGTTTGTTTAGGGACAGGGGGGTTGGTTTAGTTGGTTTTGGAGAGACAGCAGCCGCAGTGCTGTCTGTGAACTGACTTAGGAAGAAAGGCTGATGTGCTGCCATTTATTTTGTGGAAAACCTACAGATGAGCTTTCACGGCTCATTGGCTTCTTGGAAAGCTGCATTGTGGCCGTGTGCTGTCAGCACTGGCCCAGGCTGAAAGCTTTTAGTAGGTGCTGAACTTTGAGATCCTTCAGTGTCCTAAAAAGACCTGCGATAAACCCCAAAATATGTCGTTGATCTTTGAGGTCTGTGTCTAAACAATCTTTGCAGTTATTCTGTCTTCCACAGTGCTTCCAGTGGAAGTTTGAAGGGTGCTACTTTGGTGAAGGAATCTTTCCATAACATGTTTTAAGTGGAGATAAATATCATTACCAGGAAACGGGAAGAAAAACCCAACAACAAGCCACAAAACAGCATGTGAATTTGGAACACGAGAGCTCAGGCTTTTGAAGCTTCCTGAATTCTTAACTACTAGCAAATTGCCTTAAATTTAACTTGGATTAATTCCCTGGTGATCCTTGACATTAAACGGATGTTCTGGTTTGACATGGGTAGACAGAAAACTAATTAATTCCTCTGAATTGGAGGCATATTTAATTCTCTCCCCCAAAGACCTCGCATTGGAGAGGTGCAGTGCTGTGACAGATGCTGAATGTGGAACGATGGGTATGAAGTAACAGACCTTTAGAGAGGGGAAGATCAAGACATCTACAATAAGTATTGCTGGTTAGGAAAGCGTTAAACTTTGTTGGTTGGACTGAACACAGGAACATCCACAGCACTGCTGTGTGATACTGTGCCTCTCCATGGAGAGGATGCTGCTCTTAATGCTCATGATGTCTTTCCCATTCATATCTCTGTCTCTTCAAGTACTTTGGAACAAGGATGAGTTGTTTTCCCTTTGCATGGAGGAGCACATACTGGTGTTGGTTTTACTTGGGGTTTTATGTTCATATTTTCGAATGTCAAGTATTTTTGCTTCTTGCCCCAGAGGTACCAACCCACCCTCTGCTCTTGTCCCCAGTGTCCTTGGCGATGTGGGCAAGTGCAGCACAAGGGCTGTGGGATCTCACCACCATGAGATGTAAATAAAATCTCAAGGAATGGGTGTAATTTCCAGGTGAAAAACATGCAAGAGGAAAAGCTGCTGTTGCTTAAACTCACAAAAGTGGGTGAAGACATTGGCATAAAGGAGTGTTTGTCCATCTGTATGAAACTGAGGAAGAGAAAATGATCCTTGTCGGAGATTTCCCCCAGCCCCAAACTAATTCTAGGGAGTTGTTTTCTTGGAATATGGACTTGCTACCTCTGAAGGGACAGCAAAATGAAATGCCATATCTGAACCTTCTGCTGGCTCCATAATTGTATGCTCTGAGGTTTTCTTGCCTCTTCCTCTGAACCATGGGGATCTGGCAGCTGTTGAAGGCAGGACTGGTGATGGACAACGTGCTTTATCCAGTGTGGCAGTTCATATTTCCTGAGGGGACTAAGCTGACTCCTCGACTCCTAAAAGTAGCTACAGCAGTGGTTTCTGGAGTAGAGACAAGAGTAAACTGTCATTCTGGCTTAAGAGGTGGCTCCCTCCAACAGGAGGAGGCTGGGAAGCGGTGGCAGCCACCTTCCGTGCCTGGGTGAGAGCTGCTGGTTCCATTGCAGCCTTCTCAGGCCAAACACTTGGAAAATCAGTTCTTTAGGCTGTGGTTTTTAATCCTTGGATTGATTTGCATTGATGTGTTTCATGTGTTTGAGGTGGAGGTGGCTTCTGTGTGAGAGCTCGATTTGAGGTCTCTGGGCAGATTTCAATAGCGAGTAAGTAGCATTCAGATAAAGTAGAGCTGCTCTATTATTGACCTCTTCCAATTCAAATAGAACTAAGATGAGCTTTTTTGTGCACTCTGCTTAATTCCACAGAAAAGCTGCATGGATTTGAAATAATAAACACGGGTTCAGCCTGTTTGTGGTGCAGGAACATGGTCCTTCCTCTCTTGAAGAAGCAAGTGCTTCTCAGTGACCAGGGACCAGCCGGTCTTGTAAATGAGCAGTTGTGACAGTGCTGAAGAGCTCCATTCTTGTGGAACTGGAGATGCTCGTGCAGGCATCTTGCATAACTTGAACTCTTCACTCGTGAGGTGGCTCTAGAAGAAAGGTCCTTGTGTCATCTCTGTTCTGTGGGCTGAGAGGTGGTTTTCCAGCCAGTGGTGTGGGCTGAACTGGAGCTGTTGTGCTCCTGTAGACGATGACACTGGCACAGACTAGGAGGAAGGAGGAATGAGGTCTTAAGAATGCATTCCCCAGCACAGGAACACACTTGCACATGTCAAGACACTTTCTCAGTCGTGACTGCAGTGAGGTGATGTACAGCTGGGCCTGAATTTGGGCTTTGAACCAGACATATATTAGAAAGCTGCTGCAAGCACACATCAGCCTCTTAATGACAGTGCTTACATTTAACTCTGCGTGCTTTGAGGTGGTGCAGCCACACAAGTGCGGTGGTTGTGGTTTCATCAGCAACCACCAGCAGCCCAAATCCAGGCTCTGGTGCATGGGCTTGCCCATAATTACATTCAGATTTGGTCTTGTCAGCAGAAACCAATTGTACAGTTGTATGACATGTGGGCACATGTGCTAATTTTACAGCTGGGACTTCTTATATTGGAACAAGTTTAAGTTCTTGAGAGGAAGGAGTTGGTGTCCTTCACACTGTGTGGCAGCTCAGTGCTCCTGATTAGCTGCACCATTAAATCACTGTTAAACAGTATAGAAACCTTAATGGCAAGTCCCAAGTAAGTGATCTAAGCTAAATAAAATGGCAGAAATCAGCACTGATGTGTTACTTTTCTTGTGTTTGTACTTTGCTGGTGGGGTAAAATTCAATCTGAATCAACATAATCCACTTTTTCTCTTGTTTTGGGGTGTAAGAGGAGGGTAATTCAGAGTATAACTTACAAGGTATGAGATACTTGTCATGCTGCTGGCACTAACTAGCCTTTGTTTGAATAATAGTGCCAAACTTTATGAGAGGTGATCAGAATTCATCGTGGCTTGGTGGGTGCTTTGTTGTTTGGGTCGCAAGCATCCTTTCTGAACATGAATGTTCGGGTGATCATTAGCATTTCTCTATCCTCTACAGTATCTTGGGGTGGTTGTAGGGTAAAGTTGGAGATGTAAAGCCAAGGAGATAACGTGCTTTATTGCCAAGTTAAAAATCAGCCTCAAATAACATTAATTTCACAGTTCTCATCTATTGCCAGTTTAGTTTGAGTGGGGACTTCCCATTTTGTGATCTGTAGTCTTGGATTTGCTTGTTGCTCTTTTGCCTTGCATTGTATTTATAGCCCCTCCACAGCAATATAGCGAGGGCAGGGCCTGGTTTCAATTGGCTTTTGCTGTTGGAGGGCTTCATCTGTTCAGTGTGTTACACATAATACTTGTTCCCTTGAGGAAAGTGTGTTATGGAGTGCTCCTCAGCAGTTTGTCTCCATCAGCACAGTTTCAACCCCAAACTTCACTGAACTCCAGCAGTAAAAATTGACAGTTGTTTCACCCAAGTAACTTAAGACAGGTTTGCTTGCGAGTCTGTAGTCGTTTAAAGAAGCGTTTCTCTGGGATGTTATGAGCCACGGGAGGACTGAGCTTCAAATCTAATCTCCTTTTTAACATAAATGATTTGAAGTCTGGTGAAAAGAAGCTGCATCATGTAATGAATGTGTGGTGTTTCCAGGCAGTGCCTGTGTTCTGCAGCATCCTTTCGGGATGAACTGGTTACCTGATTCGGCACAGCTCGGGGTTTGTCTCAGTCTTTGAAAATCTCTGTCAGCTTGTAGTGGATTTTGAAATCCTGTCATTTCCTCCCCCCTGCAGGACTTGTGGAAGAGGAAACACAAAGATTTCCAGATGAATAACCGCAAGGAAGATATGGAGATCGCGTCCCACTACCGGCACCTGCTGCGGGAGCTGAACGAGCAGAGGCAGCACGGCATCCTCTGCGACGTCTGCATCATAGTGGAGGGGAAGATATTTAAGGCTCACAAAAACGTTCTGCTTGGGAGTAGTCGTTACTTCAAAACACTCTACTGCCAGGTACAGAAAACCTCTGACCAGGCCACTGTCACCCACCTGGACATCGTGACTGCACAAGGCTTTAAAGCCATCATTGACTTCATGTACTCCGCACACCTCGCGCTGACCAGCCGCAACGTCATCGAGGTGATGTCAGCTGCGAGTTACCTGCAGATGACAGACATTGTCCAGGCCTGTCACAACTTCATCAAAGCAGCTCTTGACATAAGCATAAAGTCTGATGCTTCAGATGATCTCGTTGATTATGAGCTTGGAGCCCCCTCCAGCAGCAGTACGGATGCTCTGATTTCAGCAGTGGTGGCTGGCAGGAGTATATCTCCCTGGTTAGCGCGGCGCACGAGCCCTGCAAACTCGTCTGGAGACTCAGCCATTGCCAGCTGCCATGAAGGAGGGAGCAGCTATGGCAAAGAGGATCAAGAACCAAAACCAGATGGCCACGAAGACATTTCATCCCAGTCTCTTTGGTCTAGTGACATGGGCTATGGCTCTTTACGGATCAAGGAGGAACAGGTTTCGCCGTCGCATTACGGAGGGAGCGAACTGCATTCTGGCAAGGATAGTGCAATACAGACTGTGTTCTCAGAGCAAGGAGTAGGGGACGGCTGGCAGCCCACGGGGCGCAGGAAGAACAGGAAAAACAAAGACACTGTGAGGCATATCACACAGCAAGTGGAGGAGGACAGCAGGGCAAGCTCTCCAATGCCATCGTTCTTACCTGCTTCAGGATGGCCCTACAGCAGTCGAGACCCCAGTAAGTTGCTGTTCTGATTTTCATGGCTAAAATTAAAACCACTGGGTTAATTAGATCTCTTTGTGGTATGATCTTATCAGTCTCCGAAATGGCTGAGCTTGCCAGAAAAATGCAGAAACCTATGCTAACAGGAATTGAGTTGGGAACGTCAGTGTCACAGCACTTGGCTGGTTTTCCTCTGAAAGAGGCTGGGAGTTTTGTTGTGGTCTTGAGCATACAATGGCCTAAATCACCCCCAAAACCACCATGATAGGTGAGGTTGGAATTTATTTTAGCAGCTGTGCAGACCGATGTCAAGGATGAAGAATGTTCCTTGCACAGTGTATTGATGATGTAATTACACCACACACGGCTGTAATTTAGTCTGAATGATACCATCTCCAGTGCTTCCTGGTATTCAGGTGTCACTTTCTCATGTGCAGGAAAACCACCGCAGCTTATTGCTGCTCATGGCAAGAGAAATGTTTGGTACTCCTTAAGAATAATGTGTTTTTTGAGGTACTGCTGTGGCTTAAAGTGTATTTTGATGTGTGACTACTTGTAGTCTCGGGTGAGTGGCTGCTTTTAAAGCGTATAGCCGGGGAGAAAAATGTGGTCTTGAGTTGGTCTGAATCTTCAGTAGTTATTTTCTGTCTCAAAATAGCAGTTCTGTTTGATTCATTAATCCCCAGCAATTAGCAGATCCAGGAATGCTGCTGATACAGGAGCAGTCTGGGTGGTTTTTTCCTAAGGACTTTCAGGGAGTGTGGTATCAAACTCCCTCAAGCTGATTTGAAGAGCTCTGTCTGGTGAGTTAGCCTGTGTTTCATTGCATACCAGAGCCCAAGTCAGGCAGGAGGAGGGTGTGTGAGATTATATACCCTTATGTTGCCAATTTCAGATGAAAAAGCAATATAAATAATACAGAAAGTCTGAAGAGTCTTTATGGGCTGGAAAAGGATGTTTAAGATGCTTATATACTGGAGTTTCAATGTGGTTTTCATTGAAGGGGTAACTCTCCTCAGATGTCTTTAGATTTACTATGTTTTATGCTTATCTGCTGCTGCTGCAAGCTTGCATGTAATTATTCTAATTGCTGATGATAAAATCTACACAACAGCAGTTAGAAGAAAAATGGGAGATAACTTAATGATTTATAATGAATCCTGGGTTTATAATGTGTGTGTTTCAGGGCTGTTTTGAAGCGGGGTTCAGCATGCATTGCCTGGTGTGCTATTTGCATGCAACTGGTTTTCACTTCCATGGCATCCCATAAAAGCAGCTCAGTCACTTGTACTGTCCAAGGGGTGGTGTGGGGCTTGGACAGGTCGATGCAGTAACCCACACGCGTTGGGGTGACTGCAGTAACACAGCTGCAGCACTGACTGGTTTAGGCAGCTGGGCATGGACTGAAAACAGGGTGACATAAAGAGATTGTCTTCCTGGAAGCTGAATGAAGTTTCTGGTCTTTAATTCCTAATCATTAAGGAATTAAATGTAAGTGTCCTTACAACCGCTTGCAGAGGAGAGGAAGGTGGCTTTGGGTGCTGGCTCGGTGCAGTGCTGACACAGTGCATTGCCAGGCACAATCGCATTGTGCCAAATCTTGTTTTAAAGGTGTTTACCTATAAAAGAGGTGTTTCTCATAATGGGAGAGGGGAAGCTCAGTGGTGGTGTTTGGGGAAGTAGTTTCAATATTCCACTAGTGCCTGTAGAGCAAAGGGGAAAACAACAGCGACACAGCATGGGATGGGTGCATATGGACGTAAAAGCAAGGAGCATCTCTGCATGCTTCCCCTAAGGAGACCTGCGTGTATCTTAGGTCACAGTTTCTTGTCTTTTGGTAGATTTTTTTTTTGGTATTTCAAAGGATTTGAGATCTTTGCATATTCAGTTTTGGTTAACACATGGACATCTTGTCAGCAGCAAGCCTCCCTGTGCTGTGTGTGTGTGGGTGTATGGTTTGGGTGAAATCAGAGCTGTTCCCCCAAACCATCACTGTCCTGGTCCCAAAGCAGGAGGGTCTCACACTAGTATTTCCCATCTCCAGCAGGTGGAAGCAGCCCTCTTGTGAACCGCTCCACGTTGAAAAGCCCCAGGTTTCTGCTTGGGTTGGTTGTTGGTACCCCAGGTTCTTCCCTTTCCTGCTGGAATTCAGTGGTAGCGTAGGTGTGCCAACTTAGCTCCCGTGCATGAAGAAAACTGGATTCTCTTGTGTGAAAATGGATGAAGGCAAGTGTCTGCACTGCATAATGCATGTTTGGGATGTGTTTAAATCTCAGCTTGACGATGGCTTTGATTTAGTAGTGTCAGGCTTCATGCTTTAAAACAGACTTCCTAGGGCTCTTTTTGCCTTATCCATTTGGAAGTGTCCCTACAGTATTATTCATAGCTAGGATGAAAAGGTACTTGTTTGCTGAGGAAATGAGCGTTGAGTGGTCTTTCTTAAGTAGTGAAGAGGAACAAAGTTACCTGGAACTCTCTGTTCTTTGGCTCATTCACTCCTCTGATCTATTCAGTTATTTTAAGATGCTGCTTGCTAAGTCTGAAAGCCCCCATTGTGGGATAATTTGGGTGCCATTTGCAAAAGCCTCTGTTCTAGAGAACTAACAGTCCTTCTGGCAATGCAGAAGCTGATTTAGGAGGGTCCAAAGCTCAGTGTTAGTGGCTTCCTCCTTGAATTGTACAAGGTACTCATTCGGTCTTGCTTGCAAGCACCACTGCATTTCAGCAACATGCAGGCAGCGATTTGGAAGGAGGAACTTGCATCACCCTTTTAATTCAGTGGTTATTTGGGGCACAGATAAAAATACTCTCCTATTCCTGTATTATACAAGATTACTTCATTTATGTTACAAAGCAGCATGTTGCAGTCACTGAAACTCTGCTGTTGAAACAACTAACAGTTCGTGTATGTTTGGTAGTGGTGCTTCTTCCAGTGGGAAATACGTCCTTATCAATACAGATAGAATGTACTAAAGTGTCCCAAATACATGGTAGGCTGTACTGAAGCACGAGTCTATGGGGCCTCAAAAAGACACAGGCCTTAATTGAAAGGATAAGAAGATTCTTCCCAAGTTAGTTGATTCTTTTCCTGATGCTGCAGAGTCCTTGAAGTTGTTCACATTGGGGTTAAAATAAAAAGGAATGTCTAGAGTAATCCTATGAATGGTAATCTAACATGGAAATAGCAAACCAAGCAAGAAATTCCTAATATCTGCCATGAAGAGTGTATCCTCTTCATCTAAGGAAGAATGATCAAACAGGATGTGCAATAGAGCACAAACCGAGTTGAGATGTGGGATTAGGAACCTCTCAGTCCCTACAGGGTGTTGTCAGTCAAGCCCACAGCTCCGTGGGGATCATCTCTCCATCCTAGTTTCACTTTATTAATCTGGATTCTCTGTTTGGCATAGAACACATGAGGGGTTTGTTTCTCATCCTGTTTGGGTTGTTCAGGATGTCAGTCTTGTATGAAACAGCCCCATATACGTTTTCCTCACCAAGCTGCAGTAACTTGGACCAGCAGTTCTCCAAAGTAAGCTGAAGGATGGGCTGTATAAATAACAACTTTCTTCCTAACTGAGCCAAGAAGAATTTCCTCCACAGCCTTGAAAAATAACACGTCTGCCTTTTATGTTAACCTTTTCCTCTTGAATTTTGTAGCTTTTCTAAAGAAACATCTTGCTATTTGCTAATCTTAAAGATGTTTACGAGATTCAGAAGTGAAGATGCCCTGAGCATCTTCGTTTACCATAGCTTATTGTCCTTTTGCTAGGTAAGGTTTGTACAGGGTTATGTGAGTATGTGGGACTGCAGGTCTGGGTGGTACTTAAGAGCCTCTCACCAAAGAGCTCTCACTAGGAGAGCCTTTAAGCTGACAGAATGGTGCTGCGTTTGCCTCTCCATACGCTACAAAACTCACTTGGAAGGAGCGTTTGGAAGGGTTTATTGATGGTTTTAATGCGTTGGTTCAATCATAGGGGTTGTGATTCAGGAGTTTATTTCTTCGGAAGTACTCCCACACATCCTCTGCGTGTTTGCACCCTAAAGCTGGGAGTGGATTCCTGTGGCAGTTGACTGTGAAATGAAGGTGATTATTTTCAAGACACAACAGTGGGGTTTAAAGCTGCTGCAGTTTGGGAACTTCCTGCTTTGCTGTGGTTGCAAGTAGTGATGTTTGTTTGGACTGGAGGAAAAGCTTGAGGAGTTAAGCAGTGACATTCATGGGAAGGGCGGGCAGGACTTCACTGGATCCTCCCAGCTCTGCAGAGCTCCAAGGGCCTTTAATATTTATCACCAAACTCTTTAATTATGCACCAGTTTCCTCCCTCGTGCTGCGGCCACCTTCAGGTTCATCATTTTCCAATGGAACGGTCTGATTTCAGCGCCTGCTGCAGGGAGTTGTGCTGCTGCCTCTCCAGGAGGACGGGAGGCAGCTGCTTGGAAAAGCCTTTTCCTATCCCTTTATCCCATCTAGAGCTTGGTCTGGATGAACTCTCAGCTAATTTGATGCAGATGAGGTCTTGGGACCTATCTCAGTGCAGGTAGGTGAATGTGTAGGTGATTTTAAGGTGGTTTTATTCCTGCAAATAAGTCTCTCAGCAAACTGGGGGATTTCCTGGAACTCTTTCACCTTTTCAATGCAAAATCATCCAATCTCTCCTTGATTATTTTTTATTATTAAGATGCCGTTGTTTCTGTTGTGATACTTGGCAAGCAGATTAGTCCAAAGAGTGAAATAGAGCTCTTGTATAATGAGAAGAGGAGGAAAAATGAGCGTGGTGGTTGTGTTCAAGCTTCAGGTGTTCAAGGAACGCTTGAGGATTTTTGTTCTGCAAAAGCTGTGTAATGCCTCTGCCTTTACATAGTGCTTTATAAATAATCTATTTACCTTCTGTTTAAATGAGAAGAAAAAAGATCTGTAGCTAGCACTGGAGGGTAATATTAATGAAGAAATAAAGAAGCAGCAGTGCGAGTGAGCTCATGAGGATGGGTTTGCAGTCAGTGATGGAGGCTGG